AACACCACAGGAGAATAGTTCCCCCCCCCTCCACCAGAGTCCATTCTGGCATGAAGGATTCAAAATGCCTTACCATGCTCAGGGCAGGACCCCTACAGCTCCCTAGACGCCTCGCCCTGTAGTTGGACCGCGGCAGCTAGACGGCCGTGGTGTTTGGTGTCACGAAGCGTGGCTTTCAGGTTTGCTTCGGGGGTGGGGGGGGGGGGGATGATGATGGGCGCCAAACTCTAAATTCTTTCAAGTTTGCTCGTGCAACACTGCAAGCAACAAGAAACAGCTACACTTCCTACTGCCAATGCCATCCTATGCCCCTGCTGATTTCTGCTAGGTTGACAGCATTGGGTGGGTCTTCACAGCCAAGCAGCGCTGAAACTCCCTGGGTCGCAAGGATTCAGATCCATCTCTGTCACATCCCCTTCTATGAGCAACGGCTCCTGCGGTTCCCACAAGCCCCGGGCCGAGCACTGCCGTGCGAGAACATGTTGCAAGGCCCAGGTGCTTCTTGCAGACTGCAAAAAATGATGCCACGCTGCCAGAACCACATACTACTTTACTACTTTATCGCTTCGACGCGCCCGTGTCCTGCCTGCTTCGGGCTGGCCCTCACGTTCAGCCTCGTCTCGTTGCTCGTCGCTGTGGCCCTGGCACTCGGGCTGGATCCATCCGGGCTGCTCTCAAAGTCTCCCATCCAGTTTGCTTTCACGGAGGAGCATCAGTGGGGTTCTGACTGTCTATCTGTGTCCATCCAACCCCTCAAAACAGCTGCAAGTCACATGGTCGTCCCTCAAACTATGGCAACAGCTGCGGCCTTGAAACTTCAGATTCATGGGCACCATCTGCTGATGTGGCCTGCAGAGACAATGCCGCACCCGAGAGAAGCCCACATGGCAAACACGAAATTCCTTTGACACGGCCACAAAACAATGCCACTACAGGGGTGAAGAAAAGACTTTCCCATGCCTGCGCATGCGTATTGCTAGAGCACCTTGGTTTTTGCTTTCGATCTGCGATTTGCTAGGAGTCAGGCTGAAGACTTCAGGAATCCAAGAAAACATGATGGCCATCTATTCAGACTCATCAGAAGCAATTGGCAAGAAACTGACAAGTAAGGATGGGGCATAGTGTTCGATAACCCATCCACAAGTCCTTGGCTCCCAACAATTGCACCTTGCAGAATTCTAGCTTCGTGTACATTGACAGTAGTGGAAGGCCAACAAAAACTCTGAGTGAACATTCGAGAGATCAACTCACCAACGGCCAGGCTACCACGTCTCAAAACCAGTGCTAAGTCCGCCCTTTGATGCCGAATCTCGAACCTTGAATCTAGCTCACACTACGGGGAATTTCAAGTGTGAGATGCAGACCAGAAGTCTGTTTGCGACTGTGATCAAGTTTTCTGCATCCGCTTGCGGGAGTGCGCTGAAGCGGTCAACTGTACTCCTGAGTCCATCAGCATTTCAGGTCTGGGATCAGAGTGTGAAGTAGGGGTTCGGGCTTGTAGACAAAAAAGGATTTCCGGTAATCGTGGAGTGGAGTCTCGATACGTCCGATGTAGACAGCGCCCAAACTCTCCTAGTGTTCGATGCCAAGCCATCCAAATTCTTGATCCAGTAGCCACCTGACCATGTCAAAACGGACCCAAACTCAGAGGATCCTTTCTAAACATTCTCAAAAGCATTGAAAAAGTGAATCACAACAGCGCATGCTGACGGCCTATCTGCTGACTTGGTTGTTGAGGGAATTTGCTGGGAGAACTGAAGCCGGGGCCATATTTTTGTTGGAGGACTGGGGGAAGCAATACGGGCGCAGTTGGACCTGAAAATAGGTGTGAGGGGAAGATGTGTCGGGTGCGTTATTTAGGGGGGGGGGGGGGGCACCCCAAGGATTCCCCTCCCCGCTGGATTCCCTCCACAGTGCAAGCTTGCCAGGTTGTTACAACACATGGCCTGAGTGCGCCTGCTGCTTACTTGAACACGGATTCAGAAACCGGAGGAGCACTCAGATCATAAGAGCTATGGTAGGTTCAAATTACGATGAGTTCACAAAGGGGGGGGGGACGAAAAGCTGGACAGTCACTGCGCTGCTCGATCTCGCGTACTACGATCGTCAGCTTGGTGCACATCTCCGCAATCAATAACAGAGGCCCGCCCGAGTGATGGCAAGACGTGCAAAGACAGATTGTGGCCAGCTTTCGAAAGCGCCTTCAAAGATTGTTTCGATATCACTCAGACAAGCGAGATTCAAATCATCACAACTGCCTGGAAGGCCATGCCAGATTTGACATAAGGTTCTAGATGGTAACCGAAAGGACAAAACGCATGGCCTGAATTACTTCCTTGCGCCAGTCTTCGCAGAGGAACGATGCACGTTTTCGTTCGTTGGCTGTGAACTTCAGAAGCGGGTCCGGAGACATCGCCAACTGAATGTCGCATTTTCGCATTTTCGCATTGCCCTTACTTGGCTTGCAGATGCCTGGGCCGATGTCTTCTCCCGTTGACGAACCATGGTTCTCTTCGACTTCCAGCGCATGCTCTCAAGGCCTCTCACAAGATGAAGACCTGAGAATGGAAGCTGCGCTAGAGAGATTCATTGACAGACTCACCGGAACCTTGTCATTCTACATGTCGCATCAATGGCGGCTAATGGCTAACCTACCTGATCAACGCACAGTGATTGGGAAGCATTAGGCTCTGAAAGTGTGCAACATCAGGCTGCAGGGCTATCAGGCCAACATGTTCGAGGACATCTTCATCAAGGAATCATAAAGCCAGTGTGACAAGCGATCGAACTCCTCATCAGGAAGCCATTCCTTGAACCGCGGTGCCCTGGGTGCGGGCTTGAGTGTCTGGCATCTACAGATCTGAGTCTGAGTCTATAAGCTGCTTTGACTTGTTGCAAGCCCTCAATCCACCTTTCAAGCTGGAAGGCCTGCGAAGTTGATCGTATCAGTGCTCTGGGGCAAACAATTGCAAGCGCAATCCGACCACGACAAGGAAGAACCGGTGTACGTGTCCGCGGCAGGAGACGAATAGGTCAGCAGGAGCATGAGTCACAGTGGCATAACGGATACTTCTGGCAGTGTTCTTAGGGAAGTGGTACTTGTACGTCAACCACCCTACGAATCAAAAAGCCCAAATTACAAATCCCAAACCTGTAACCCCCAACTATTGTGGATCACCTCCCTCCCGCCCCCACCTAGCTGAGAGTTCAGGATAGCGGTTGGAAGGTCCCGGCTGGAAGCGGCAAGTGCGCACAGGACGTTCAAAGTCAAAATCTCCTTCCGTCCATGCCTTGGTCGCTCTAACTTTGGAAGTATGGAAGTATTTGACATGTAGAAACTAGTGGGCACTGCTATACGGCAGAAACAAAATCGTGTGTTGGGGGGGGGTGGGGGGGGGTTCGCGGAGTGGGGGGGGGGGGGGTTGCAAAATGCTACAAAGAAACTGATGCTCCCAAATGTTCACGAATGCTGAATAATCAGCCCAGATGGAGTCTTGCTGTGTGATGAGGTCAAGCCGGAATAAATGCACTGACAAACTGGTCAAGGATCGACCTGAAAGTGACAGTGCACAAAATCAGCATTCAGCTGCCCCCCATTCCATGACGTTTTGCATGATGTGGATCTTATTCTTAAAGCCTTGATGCAGGGGACCAAGTCTCGAAAACCTCCCAGCCTAGTGCTTTTTGCAGGCAAGCAACTGATAAAGGAAGAAGGCTGGTGGCTGGCGGGAACGACTTCGAAGGTTGGTCTTGCATCTTGCAATGACCATGATAACACGAGCCCTTCTTGAGGCTGAACTAAGGGGAGAAGCGAATCTAAAGCAAACCGCATCAGCTTCTGGACGACACCTTGGTTTCACAGGTACAGGCCAAAGAAGTATGTGCAGGAAGTTATGCAGGAAAATCTTACGGCAGAACGCGGCCTGGAGTTGTCCGCTCAACCAGAGCATAGAGTTTTCGAAATATTTTCGCCAAGTACCCGCACTTCTAATTACAATACAAGCAGGCAAAATATTGCAAATGATCCAAGCTCATACTTGTTGCCAAAATGAAGGCACTCACAGCTTTAGCCGTGCTCATGGTCCACGTCGATGTTCTTCGCCACGCAAACTCCTGCTTAATCACAACAATCCGATCTAGGGCTTTGAACTGATCGCGATTGGCTTAAGTGTGACGGTGGCTTTCCAACTCAACGGCATCCCAACAATCAGAAAAAGGCACGGCTGAATGCGCATGAAGTTGGATTCAAATTGAACGCGACGTCGCTTAAAAAACTATTACACCGGCGAAGACCCCAGAAAGCTGGGAGGCTTTCTGAGAATAGATAGAAATTTCCCCTCTCTGTTGTGGCCCTGCGCTTCACATGTTTTGGCATTGCCGAATCAGAAGGCTTGTACAATTGAGTGAGAAATGTTTGGCTAACGATTGAAACTGACAGGTGTCCTTTCGGCATCCTGCCCAGGCATCAGGAGTATACACTACTTCCAAGGCCTCATCCTTACAACAGGACGGGACCTGTAACATTCTGTTTCCGGGAGGGTGGGCCAGGCGGGCGGGATCAGGTCCTATACGCCCAACCGCAGTGGGTCAATTCCTCAACCACAACGTATGTCAAGGGATTTCCCATAGTTGCCATAGTTTCCCCCCGCGCTTCACATGATTTGGCACTGCCGAGGCTTGTGCAGCACTTGAATGAGAAACATTTGGCTAATGATTGAAAGGTGTCCTCTCGAGATCCTGCTCAGACGTCATGAGCATTCTTTGGAATCGCACTGTACACTACATACGCTACGTTCGTCTTTCAAGTTCTCGTCCTTGCAAGGATCTGTGTCAACTACACAAGGGACAGGAACTGTATTCCTTGAAAAACGTGTCTGCAAAAGTGGGTCTGGCTTATCTTTTCTTTTTGGGCACACGAGGCCCGTAGACTGCCCCACCTACCCCTCCTGCATGCCACCTGCACGCCTGCATCAAATCCGTTCAGCAAAGCTAGATTTGGGCTACTGTGCACAGTTCCAGGAACGTAACATGAAGCTACATGTGTCCTCTTTCCCGTGGAAGTGGTGTTGCTCGCTGCTGAGACCTGCGGAACTGCGCAATGCTTGCGCCAAAGTCTGTAGACCGGCGTAAAATGCGGAAGCGCCAAGCATCCCAAGCAGGAGCCCGCCCACAACGGAAACAGCTTCTTCTCCGGGGAAGAAGATAAGCAACGCAGAAACGCTGCTAAAGAGTACAAACCTTGTGAGCAGCAGGATGAATTCAATGTAGTCCAAAATCTGGGCCTGGCCGTTTGAATAAGGCTTGTACCAGTTATTGATTGCGAGCATTAGCCCAGAAATCAACGGAAATAGGAGCAACTTGGCATTGTTGTCATCCGCTATAGATGTGTTCGCCACCAATAGCATCAAACAGGTGTCTGCCCTCTTCACAAGAATGTCCCAATACCAGTATCTTGGCTCTAGACCTCGGATGAAGAAGCCGTACCTACGGTAGTTGTTTGCATCTTGTCGATCCTTCAGTTTCCAGATCTGAATAAAGAGCAATAAGGGAACACCCACGCACCACAGAGATAATCCTGTGAAGGCAACTGCGACCAAAGCAAAGTGATCTTCCTTCCAGCACTTCACGTCTGGATGCAAAGCCAAGCGCTGTACAGACTTCGTTTCCTGCAACAAGTCTTCCCGCATTGGCACGCAGCGGATCATCTGAAGGAACTTGGACAGCAACGTTGGCCACAGCGCAAGCTGAGTCAACCATATGACTGGCATAGCTTGGTGCAGCAACATGCGAGGACGTGGAAAGGGGGTAAAGAAAGCAAAGTCGAGCTCCCGGGCATCGGTGCACTGCCACACGGTGGCTTCTGCAGCCCTCTTGCGGGTGTCTTGGCACACCTTGTCTATAAAAGCCTGGCTGGTATTCTCGTCTTCTACTGCGGCCTGCAGCTGGGTGCTTGAAAGTCCTGCACATGCAAGAGCCATGGCGACATCCTCTGCGTTCAAACGATGTCGGCCTGCGTTTGCTTCAAAATGGCCTGAATCAGAGATGCAGTTTGGTGTGCAGGGGATCGTGGTCTGGAGCGTGGGATCGGGAAAAATCTACTGCAAAAAGCAAACATGTACAACCATTTGCTTATACAAGGCACGGGCAAACATGGCTGCTAGACGGTCAGAAAGCAATCTTGAAGGCTCTGAAACATGTTCCTCACCATCCTAGCACCATTTGGTACCGTTGAAGCACCACAGCAGGTCATGCGGCATGCCTGAACCATGGTTCTAAAGCCTCCTCATACCTAATGGTCACAAACTGCCAGACCGGGCAAAGGGACCTTAGCTCCCGAAGTAAACAAGCTGAAGCCAAAACCCACCTCGAAGCTTCCAGGTAAACGCGCCCAGAGCCAGCCGATGAAGCAGTGACTCTGCCATTTGGCCGTTGAGAGCCTTGGAAATCAATGTCTAGGCCAGTTTAGGTCTCTTAGGTCACTCGCCTTGCCCAGCTCGGTGCCCGTGTTCTTTTTGACTTGGCCCACTTAAAAAACAGAATCGGTTTTTCCTGTTTTGGGCCAGGCCGCCGCGTACAAAAAACCAGGCACTCCAGGGGGAATCTCTTGGGACCCTCTGGGGCTGGGCGCTCAAGGAAGACTCTGGGGTTGGGCACTCCACGGACTCTCCCAGGATACTTTACATTTGGGCACTCCAGGGACACTCTGGGGATACTCTGGGGTGGGATACGGGTGATGAGCGAGAGGGGTTTAGTTGAAAATCTAACAACCCAACACCGAGGGTGAAGAACTATCGTGTCCCATGGTTTCTCTGCTTTGCACGCAATGTGCACGACAAAACTAATGCACCCCTGGACAGCGCGGACACGCCCTGAGACACAAGTGAGTGAGCTAATGACAGGGAACGTGGAGCCAAACCCACAGGACGCGCCCCGAGCCACAAGTGAGTGTTGTATTTGGCTTTCATGTGCTCAATGTTGACCAGAATGTGTAAGCTACAAGGATCGTTCCTGGAAAGGCTGCGCGTACGGTCCTAGCTGGATCCAACGCTTATGCTCGGAGCGGGTGAGGCGAGGTTCGATAGTGCGACGATGCACCGACGATCACGACGCCAATTTGCACACTGGGGCTGACCGGTAGTATGAATGGGTACGAAGCCTGCGTCCTGCTTTGTGAACACAGCAAGAAGAAAGAATTCAGGTTCGGTGATGACCAAATCTTCATTCAAACTGGCAGCTCACCTGCGAGCGCACATGGTTCAGCAGGCTTGTAGTGTCCAAAAGCGGAAGAATGGCTCTGACTATTCATAGGCGGTCTGTTCATGGCGGTCTACACTGGGGATGAGTTTTGGGTCACAAACCGCTTTGGGTGTCCCATCAACACAGATCCTGCTAAATTGGCGGTGATGTCGTGGGCCCCTACATGAGGCATCCCAAAGACTGAAACCCTTAGGGTTTAGGGTTTAGGGTTTGGGGTTTAGGGTTTAGGGTTTAGGGTTAGGGTTTAGGGTTTAGGGTTTAGGGTTTAGGGTTTAGGGTTTAGGGTTTAGGGTTTAGGGTTTAGGGTTTAGGGTTTAGGGTTTAGGATCTAGGATCTAGGGTTTATCCGACAACGGACAACTTTGAGACGCCCCTCCGTCTTGTCAAGGCTGGTGACTGCCTGCAAATCAGAAATTGGCACCCCGTTGGTCAACACTTCGTCGGGGATGTCCCAGTCTGCCGCATCCAACCCTTTCAGGGAGGGCATTCATCAGCAAAAGCCAGCACAGGCCTTTAGGCCTTTAGGCCTTTAGGCCTTTAGGCCTTTAGGCCTTTAGGCCTTTAGGCCTTTAGGCCTTTAGGCCTTTAGGCCTTTAGGCCTTTAGGCCTTTAGGCCTTTAGGCCTTTAGGCCTTTAGGGTTAAAACTTTTAGGGTTACCTGGGTTTCCTGTGCAATGCACTTCTTTTATTTCATGCACGGCAAAGCTTTTGGGAGCGCCCAACCAGCCTTCTGCCATATCAGACAGCCGCTTGGAAAGATGCGAGCCTTAGCTAGGTTTGGATGCCCCATCTGCAGTCCCTGACAGTTTTCCCCAACGCATAACCCGAAAATTAACTTCCTGGCACAACATCATGTTTGGGTGCAATTAGGAATGTCGTTCTGCGAAGATTCTTGAACTATACAAATTCCTGCGATGCGCATTGATCTCGATGTGAACACGTGACAGGTTGACATGTGGGAGTGAGAACCGGGAGCATAAAATGCGATAACACAATGACGACAGAATCACATGATATTGGGGAGTTACAGAGAGGCGAAGTCGTAAACACCCCACAAAAAATGAAAAAGAAGGCTTTGGGCTTTTGTCACTGAGGATCGCCGCTCCCCATCATTCACCAACAAACAACTTAGTTCACTTCTGCTCCCACTCGCAACATTGGTCTTTGCTTTGAGCTCTGCCACAAAGGTCTTTGTTTCGGCAATCCAAGGGTTGCCGAATGCAGCAACATTTGCCGGATTAGATAAACAGATCGTGTGCCACAACAAATAGCCGTACCACTGCCGAGACGAGTTGATGTACTCATGGAAATCATTTTGAAGATTTCAAGATAGCATTGCCTCCGGTCTAAGAGGGTATTGGGTAAGTAGCGGCCAGCCCTATGCCGCTCCATTGGCAGCTAGCGATCTGGTTGCAGGCAGCGTGACCTTTCGTACACCTGCGAACATATTGTATCAGCGCAAAAGATGTCGAGGCTAGAGTCAACACAGTTGATTGCGAGCATACAACGAGCTCTAAGTCTCAATTATCAATCAGAAATGTACACGGGGGCGAAACACCTTTCGACAAAAACTCCCATATTTCATGCAGGGTGCTGGGGTCTGCGACCGCCTCCTGAACTGCTGCAGTCAGTGACCGAGAAAGCGCTGCTCGCTTCACTTTTTCCTGGGCCAAAGGGAAGGGAAGGGGGGGGGGGGGGGGGGGGGGGGTGAATAAACCTTTCAAAGCGGGGAAGCACTGTCTGGATTGGAACTTAAAACTTGTCTAACAGGGCCCAGTTTCCCGAGCTGCCTCGCTGAAAAAAATGCCGCATTTCTTTCCCGACGGGACCACAATGTAGACGAGGATGCCGCAAAGAAGGATTGTGCATGTGGCTGACAGGATGGGTAGACCGAGATAATACAGCGATGGTACGAGCCTCTTTGCATGCACTTTGTCGTCTTTGTCGTCGAATAGCTTTTCAGACCGGCAAGCGATCGAAAAGTACACATTGGCCGATGGAAGTACGTCCAGCATCGTGAAGAAGTCATCCAGCGCAGCCTTGAGTTCCCGAGGCCACGGGAACCTCAATAGTGAACATGATGCACCAGCGCATCTGTCTTCTGCCTCCGCCTGTCTTTCCGACCATGGAAATGGCAGTAGACGGTCCAGCTCAAAATCTGTGAGGATAGAGCAGGCATTTTTCCAATGTAGCACTTGCCGAATCATGGCTGAATGCAGTGCAAACTTCACTTGGCTAGCTCCCCTCGCCACGATCCACGCCATGGCAAAATTCAAGCCGGAAATTTGAACCATGTCGAAAAGGATCGTGGCAAGGAGCCAAGCCATATTCTGTTTGATGCAAGAGGTGCAGGGCTCCATGCGCAACTCTCGGGCGTACCCCTCAGAGCACTCCCCGCAGAGAACCCCTGTGGAGCCTTGTACACATTCATTCGGGAAATCTCCACTGCATCGTCCTTGGCCAGGTTCTGCTTGACACTCCTCGGTGCCTCCTATGCAAACGCTTGTGCTGTTAGCTTGAAGAATCGTACATTCGATCGCTGTGATGTTGCCAGTTCTGAACCAGCCTTCCTTTGCAAGCGGCTGCGCATGGGAAGAACCATTTTTCTCGAAGCCACCTGGACAAGTCAAACCACTGTAGAAGAGGCAGTTGGCGCAGCCTGCCAAATCGCCCCGTTCATCAAGCTCTGCAGTATGGTTCGGCTTGCAGAAGCAGTCGTCTCGCCGCACAGCCCCAAGCTCGCTGTCCGCGCCTGGCGGACATCTGTCTGAGCATTGCTCATCGCCATCGCCGGGCTTGTAAAACTCTCTTGGACAAGGTTGGCATGACGTGCCTGTTCTCTGGTAACCGGGCTTGCAGACGCACTCCTGGCTGCCGAAAGCTTTTGTTCTGGAAGTAGTGGAGTTGGATGGACACGCCTGCTTCTCTCCGGAACCATCACAGTAGTAGCCGATGTCGCAAGCAATGCAAAGGCCACCTGACAAGGTCTTGGACTCCCACGTGAACCCTTAGAACGCGAAGATCTTCACAAGCCCTCCGGCTGCTTCAGAGCACCCCCCTGCCTTCTTCAAATAAGCCCGTGTCGCATTTGCATTCACCTGGAATGAAAGAGAAAAAGGATCCCCATGATCAACCTCAAGACTACATTTCGTGCTGATCAAGGCCGAGCCCTCGCATCTCCGCACTATATGACATGGATCAAGCACAGTGGGAGGGGGGAAAGGAGGCTGCCCCAAGAGACCTGGCAACTTTCTCGAACAAGTGATAAAACGAGACACCTAAGTCAAAGCTGAGCCCTTCACAAATTCATGTATTGGTCGATTCTCAGTTGTGTACGTATGGGCTGATACTGAACTTGCATTGCTTTCTGTATCTACAGTTCTATTGACCTTGCTTCTCGCAAGCTTCATCCACTTGACCTACTGGCTCTCCAAAGCCCGGTGAATTGGCATTCTGCAGAGTGCTCAAGGTTTGCTGTTCTCCCGGGATGCCCGGTGATCTTCTTGATAACATCTGCCTCCTGTAGTTCAGCCAAATGGTACTTGCAACTTGCAGCTCCTCTTGGCTTCTCGGTCCCCTTGGCAGTTCTTAACCCTAACCCTACATCCTGACGATTCCTGACGTGTACCTCTAGCCTTGTGCAGTACTCAGAGCTGCATAAGGGCTGGCAAGTTGCTGGGGCCAGTGGACCCGGTCCACTCGGTCGACCTGGCAATTTGAAATGGTTCAGCATATATATATATATATGTATATATATATATATACATATATTATATCGATGTATATTATATATATATATATATAAGGACTGCAGCCCACTATGCTGAGGAACAAACACCCCTGCCTCGAGGTACCGCACTTCACGCAGTTTTCATCCGCCAAGGTCGACTTGTACTCTCCCCTCTGGCATGGGTCGCACTCCTTGAGCACATTCGATACACTTGCATATTTGGGATCTGTCCAGCTTATACATTACACAGGTGCCGAATTCTGAGAATCATCGCAGGTTTTCTAGCCGTCGTCTAGAGGCTTGTCTCACGCTGTCGTAGCCATAGCCCGGCAGGCAAACGCAGTCGCTTGCTTGCAGCACCATGGCCCCCGGTGGCCGAGCCGAGTTCCTTGGACATTCCATGACCTGGGTTCTTGCAGAATGCGGAATTAAATTCTGATGTGTAGGGTGTTGTAGTGTGGCAACGATTCTGTGATTGGTTTTTTTTTTTGCAGTGTCTTGCTGAACAAAAGTACGCAAGTTTGCCATTAACGGCTTCTGCGACCACGGAAGACACGACAAGCTCAGAGATCGCCTCAATGCGAACGTCCAGCGCAGAACTTGCACGCAAAGAGTCTCCAATCGCATCTTCAATAGTTCGTTCGTCCAGATCCTGCTCGGCCCACATTGCAAGGGCCTGAGAAAGGATGTTACACGGGCCAGCGGCCAAACCATGCGGTCACAAAGAAGGCAGTGCAGCCCAAACAACCAGCTCAAACTCCGACACCGCTTCAAGTTAAAAATTGCCGGAGCCTTGGAACGGTACTTGATGACCACGGTCACCAGGAAGCCACCAGATAAACGTCGGGCAGCTGACACACCTGGCTCTCTGTCTGATACCAGTGTGCAGATTGCTTGATTCGGATTCGTTCAGGGTTACATGTTGGCATTGTGATTAGAAGGGGGCACGACGCTCGACAGCTAAGCATGACGTCTACAGCAAGTTCCATCATCCCAAATCGAAAAGTTGCAAGCCTCGCCTGTCGGAATGGTGACTTCTATTGACGTCGAATCCATCCCAGTAGCTTCCGAAACTCCGCGAAGCAGAGCGGATTCCAGCTTGCTGATGGTTTCGCTGTCGTTCATTGCCAGGCCTGAGGGCTTTTCAAGAGAGTTCACAAACAACGACAGGTTCGGTTGCTTAATGCAACTCAATCTACAGTTTGTTGATGTGATGGGTTGAGAAGCCGCTCCACCTCCAGAAGTCGCACGGAGAGAGACGTTGAAAGCGACGGCAGGGACGAGTGAAGAATTTTCTATGTCTGTCAGACTCAAACCTTACGTGGTTTGGGACTTCTTTGACAAGGTTTTGGTTGGAATGGGTGGGGTTCGAAGGCACTTTTATTCAAAGGCCGCAGAGAACCCATCGGTACAGCCTTCTGAAAACAAAAAAACCTTCCAACCAAAGCCGGTCGCCATCAGCACTGTCAGTCAGAGCAGACGCAATGCAAGAGCCTGGGAAGCCCACTTTGCGCTGCTTCTCAGCAGTGCTGTACTGCAAACAGCTTCGTGAAAACCTATGTTTCACAGAAATGAAGACACTTCTTAACAATTGCCACAGTGAGCTGTTTGATACGGAGCCCCTTTGGTATGTCGTCTGGTTCCTGAGCTGGACTCGGAGACTGTCGACAATCGTGCAGCACTTGAACCCACCTGAGGTGTTTTTGCACGTGCTGCGCTTGGTGTAAATCAGTTTCGCATCCGAGGCTCGGGGAACAAGGTGTGCAGCCAGAATCGCCGGCCGTGGGTTTGTAGAATCCGACTGCACCTGGGCTTGGATGTGCTACAACACATGCTTTCATGGGCACAGATGCGTACGCTTTTGGGAGAAGTGCATGGCTGAGGACGGCCTACTTAAATTCAAGTGCCTGTGGCGGTCGCACTGATCTGTCGAGGCCTGCAACCGCTTCCGCTTGTCGTCATTGGGAAGTTGGGAAACGAACAAGAGTCCAAATAGCTCCCCAAGAACGTGCCGTCTGTGGAACTCATTGCCCCGCAGAACGCTGAAATCTACCTTCCCCCCTGACAATTCCTCGTTACCCGTAGACCCGAGACCGCCAACCTACGAGCCAGAACCATCTTGCCGCTAGGCGGTTGAGAAAACAGATCGAAGCGCGGACGCGAGGGGCGGTGAAGGATGTGGCAAGGGTCTATAGATCTGAACGATGCTTTCCAAAGGTGAACCCAAAGCTGGCCCAGGCGCAGGGGACACAGGTGCCAGAGGAGGCTTCGTAGCCATGATCGCAAAGGCAGTCTGCGCTGGAAGTGGTGTTGGTCCGCGTGGTGGTCTTACCCACTGGGCATGAGACTCTGGTCGCTGCATTCTGGTGGCCACCAGGACAATAGAAGCCTCTCCCACACTCTGCACACCTCTGCGTGGAGAACTCACTTGTAGAGCCCTATGCCAAAAATAGTCCGATTCTGTTGCCTGTAATACACGCAAATGCAACTTGAGGGACAAAGCACTGACAACCGCATCCCTAATCCCTAAGAACAACAGTGCAAGTTACACCAGTGTTCATCATCAGTGGTGACAACAACTAGTAACTAGAACCACGAGATGAATGTGAAATTGATTCCAACAGCAGCCTTGTCTGCGCGGAGAAGAACCGTCCGCTTGGGCAGTTGAGGCTTATGCTGCCGGCGTCTGCCCCGAAGGACCCCAGATTTGATAAGGAGCCTGACTTCAGATTTAGGAGTTCAGGGCCAGGCCCTTTGAGAGAGCAGACCGTATTGGTTCCGGTTCCGGTTCAGGACTGCAAGCTTTCCATGAAACCTGAAATGCTACTTGACCCTGGCCCAGGCACAATTTGCACTGCTAGGGCACCAACACAACTTGTACACTGCGGGCATGGTGTCGATGGGTATATGCCCAAGGGAAATTTGAAAAGAATTTCCCATCTCTTGCAGTGTCAATGGCTGTTGCAGTGTGTTGTAGCCTGGGATATCCACAGAGGCCAGCGCTGCACAGCTATCGAAGGTGAGTAGAAACGAATCGCCGGCTGACAGCGCGATGCCGGACAAAGCAATTTCGCACAGGCCGCCCACGTCACCTCGTCTTAGCTTGAGGGGCAATCCAAAAAGATGCCGACATGGCCATCCCAGGCGCCATGCAAAGAGCAGCGGCTGAACAAAAAGACAGCAACAACAAAAAATATGCCCAACAACGGCCCGCTCCACACTCGAAGTTCTGGTTGAAGGGGCCCTGCACCACCATTAGCCCAACGGATGCCCGGAAAACTGTGGACGAGTCGCACGCCTGCGGGGGGCTACGTGTCATTCTGCAAGCTTCCCCGCACATACCTCAAAGAAACACGTGTTGCAAACAAACGATCCACAAAATTTCGGACTCTTCCCGCATGCCTGCAAGTCTGGTTCAGGCCTGCAAAAGCAAAGCCGGAAGATCCCAGCTGGTGACGTCAGCGCTGCCGTTGAATTCGCAGTGAATGCAAAGCCAACATCATCCTTAGAATGCAGATCCCTGGCTATTGCAATCCCCAAAGACGATGCAGAGTGGCAAGCCCGACGTGGCAAACCCTGGCGCTTAGCGCAAAATGGAGATGCACAGTGTAAAGCTCCCAAACAGAGATAACAGGCAAAATTGAAGCCCCAGAAGTAGCTAAACCCGAAACCAGGCTAACCACTCAGCCTATTTTTAGCAGCTTTTCTCGCCGCAGGCGGCAAAAACTATTAGCGCGAAGGGGTATCCGCAAAGTTTCACGAGACCAGGGGATAGTGGTTGCTCATCAGGCAAACTGCCATGATCCTCCTGGCCACTCGGTTCATGCGCTTACTCGAGCTTCTTCCTTCTTGACATTGCCATATGAGTTACTTGAGAGAAGCAGATGTTTTGCGTCTGAGCGCTGAAAGCCTAAAATCCGTTGACAAGTCAGCTTTCTACCAACTTAACCACACAAGCGAAAGGAGCAAAATACGTGCAGGAAATACACAGAACAACACGGTTCTACAATACTGGAAAGTCGTACCTACCCGCCTCCGAGTGGCTCTGGGCAAGGAGCACTCTGTCACAAATGATTTTCGAAAGAGAACAACGGCGAACGATTAAAGCTGCTGTAAACTTCAACTGACTGTCTACACATCTATCACATTGGGGCTCTACCGCGCCAAGGCTCAAGGCTTTCTCACAATGAGTCAAGTGGACCCTATCTCAAAAGCTAGGCCTTATGACTTTGTCATACAAAACTCAAGAGACCAACGTTTTCGGTTCATGGGTCCGTCATAAAGTATTGGAAGCAAAATGCTGCATGGCAAGACTGAACTGCAACCAAGATGTCAAAGACGGCAAGATGTCAAAGACTGCATCATGAGCATTTCTAACACACAAAAAGTGTTAGTCCGTACCTAACGCTTATATTCAAACAAGGCGTGCAAGCCTTGCATGGTGTGTACTTGCTGGCGTGTTGTCTCGGTAACACTGGCTGACTGAACGTCCCTGTGAGTGGTTCCCGAGATGATCAAGCACCAATACTGCACACTGTAAACTGGTTGGTGCATATCTTTACTGCTGCACATGGTTTTCAAGATTCGAATTACAGGTTTTCGGATCATTGACGCAGAAGGACGCTGCATTACGTTTTTGGAATGGTAGACCAAGACGAGCTGGAGCACGAATGCACACCATCTTTCTTAGAGACATTCTTCCGATTTGTGAACTTAGCTGTCAGACATCGTTCTTCACAATTCTGAACAAGGCATATTGCCAGCATGTGAACTCTTGAGATTTGATCTTCAGACTAAACCTGTTCCATCCTTCCAGCTGACAGATGTGTTTCAGATTGTCTTCTTCTGCAGGAACCCTAGCACATATGAAAGCCTTGTACAACTCCAAAAAAATCGTATTCTGAAGCATGTATGAAAAGTTCAAGGCAAACTTCTGGATACACAATGGGTCAGTGATGAGGAAAGACGTTTCACCCTGTATCAACGTAAAAACCAGATGTTTCACCAATCCGCCGTCTGTGACGGGTTAGGGTTTAGGGTTTAGGGTTTAGGGTTTAAGGTTTAGGGCTTAGGGTTTAGGGTTAAGGGTTCAGGGTTAAGGGTTCAGGGTTTAGGGTTTAGGGCAAAAAAAAAGGGAAAAGACAATTCTTCGTTCTATGTCCTAGCAACTGCTGCGATTTCTCCACCCTAAAGATTGTGGCTGACACTTCTTCGGCCCAAGGATCACAGAGTGTAAAAGGTGCTTCGTTCATGTTTGATACTTCGCGATGGAACCGACACACAGTCTTCCACCAGAAGAAACCCTTCTAAACGTCGGCATGAGATTACGCGGGCACCTTTGGCAAATACTGGAGGAGAATGCT